AAATATTACGTACCGTTCTAAGTATTAGTGCATTCTATATTTACTGTCAACCTATAATTTGAAACTCATTTCGGAATACTTAATCCATATCCCCATCTAAAAATGATGTTATTGATAATACACTACAAAAATAAATAAAAAGCTACAATACAATCTAGTATTTAAAAAACGTAAACGCATAATGGTAGTGTTACTTTAAGCCCGCTTTTCACTATGGGATATAATATAATATATATTACATCTCGAGATATAAATTAATATCGCTCACCATACATTTCATATGGAACCGTTTACACTGAGCTATAATATATATTACATCTCAAACTATAAATATTTTTTCGATCGACCGAGCGATATTTTCATATTATATTTCGCCCCCTGTACCCCGCACATCGTTCCGCGCCCCCGCAGAACGGTATACGGGGTTGAGGGGGTAATCCAATGACCAATGACGAACGCACACTGGTGAAAAGATATATCTCACAGTGTGAAAGCCAATCGCGGGATATATTTTATATTTTGGGATATAATATATATTATATCCCATAGTGAAAAGCCAGCCTTAGTGTTATGATGAAACGTGTACTATAGATAAAAACAGGATGGGTTTAGATAGTAAGGAAATGAGGTTTTTATTACAAAGCTAAATTATTTTACCGGCTACAATAAAATAAGTTGAACCCTGTAATTTAATATACAACTAAGGCACTATTTTTGACGTATCAATCATCGGTGGTCGTTTCATATTTTGTTCAGGTCGTATTTGACCGATGTTCTTTCTAAAAATTAGATTTTACAATTTATATAATTTATTCAGATGCAAGCAATGGGTGAAATTAGTTGGGAATGAAGACCTGATGTTGTACCAATAAAAAAGCTTTAAATATTAAAACATATTTGTGGTAAGCATTTCAAATCCGAAGATTAAAAAAACAACTAGAACAAACTGCAATTCTATTAGTGGACTTAAAGCTTCCACAATTATGTTGTGTCGTGTTATTTAGATTTCCCCTTGATGTAGTAAAAGATAATATCGTATATAAATAATATAAAGTCACATTTTGGTAAGAATTCGATTATATAACTGAGTTCGAAATTATCTGTAGGTACTTAATTTTAAATGTTTACAGTTTTTTATAGATTCATCTACAAAAATTAGCAATAATGAGCAGTAATTTTGAAAGCGTCCAGTAGTAAACAAAGACATTAAAGTAGACCTATAAACCTTTAAAATTAAACTGTACGCCGATTATTTGCTCCTTAAATGTTTTTTTTAAATAATTATTTTTCAAATTAATTATAAATTAACTAATAGCAATAGAGGTGTATCAATTTCGCATTCTTCTGGGGCATTTAAGGAGCAATTAATTGGCATACTGTTTAATTTTAAAAAGTAGATATTTTATGTTTTATAGCAAAATTAAATTTTCGATATTTAAATTTTTTAAAAACTAATTAATAATTAACTAAAAGCAATAGAGGTGGAGCAATTTCGGATTCTACTGAAGCATTTAAGGAGCAATTAATTGGCATAGAGTTTAATTTAAAAAAATATATAGTTCTACGCTAACTTCCTTCTGGTCTATTTATCTATGATAATTTTTGAAGTGGATTTTGATATGTAAAAGTGGCGCGATTTTGTGTATTGTCTGCGCATGTGATCTATTAGTGGAAACGGTGAAACAAGTGCTCTGATGGTGATGTGATTTTTAAGATAAGGTGTCTGTCTACTTAGGCGCCTTTAGATACCATCGCCAACTGTCAGCTGTCTGCTGGCTCAAGTTGCCGTCAAAATGTCCCAAGGGCTGCACAGTGTGACGCATCAACATACTGTGAAGCAGTGTACTATGAAGGATAATTATGCATACGAGGGCGGCACTGAAATTTTCGGGAATCAAGGAAGTGACACAACATAACTATTTAAAAATGTATTTATTGCTTTTCGAAGTATTCTCCGCGAAATTTGACATATTTTTCCATACGATGGAACCAATCATTGAAGCAACCATTCCATTCGGAAGTTGGGGTCTCCGAAATGGCCGTTTTGTAGGCGTCCACAGCTTCTTCAGGTGATGAAAATCTCTGTCCACGCAATTTATTCTTTATTTTAGGGAAAGTATAGAAATCATTAGGGCTTAGGTCGGGGCTGCACGGCGGATGGTCTAATAATTCTATGTTTTCTTGCTCTAAAAACTCTTGTTCTGTGTGCGGTGTGAAAACTCGCATTGTCGTGATGGAGGATGATGCGGCGGTTGCAGTTCTCTTTACGGAGTTCAAAAACGACCTGAGGCAAACAAATGCTAGCATACCATTCTGCATTAACCGTTCTTTGTCCCTCAAGAGGAATAGTCGTAACATGGCCGGTTTTGGAGACAAACGTGGCCACCATTTTTTTGCAACACGCCGTGAACGAACAATTTTTATTGGCTTTAACTCATTTTCGAACACCCAAACTCGTGACTGGTTTTTGTTTCGGGTTCGTACGCGTATATCCAGGATTCGTCACCTGATACGATGTTATATACAGCATTTGAGATCCTGCGTGGAATCTTTCGAGAGTTCTGACGCACCAAGTAACGCGAGCCGCTTTTTGCTCTTCAAAGAGCGAATGCGGTATCCATCGGTAAAACAACTTTTTTACACCTAATTGTTAATGCAAGATTATTTGTATTTGACTCATGCCAATGTCTAAAGTTGCCTGAATTTCGCGGTATATCACATGTCGATCTTCCTCAATCAGCTTACGCACAGCATCAACGTTTTCTTGGGTGACTGCAATTTTTGGATGACCTTGACGGGGATCATCACTGAGCTTGACACGTCCAAGTTGAAATTCAGCAAACCAGCGATAAATTGTGGTTTTGGATGGGGCTTCATCACCAAATGCAGAAATCATCCGGTCAACACACTGTTTTTGTGTTAAACCACTTCGAAAGTCATAATAAATCATCGCTCTTGAATTTTCTCGAGTCAATTCCATTTTCTCAACGACTAAACAAGTTTGACCAAACCTTGTGACAAGACCGAGAATCTTTTTTTAAATAAATAAATGGTATTCGATTTTTAAAACCAAGGAGTTTTCAATTAAAAAGATTTTAATATGACAGGAACAGTGGAAATATTCCATTCCCGATACTTTTAGTGCAGCCTATGTAGTAACTTTAGGCTCAGAAGGGCTAGAACCCAGAGCCTTAATGCCAGTTATAAAAAAACAATAATAATTAACAACAATCAACCATCAACGTTCAACATCAACAACACAACAGTTTCTTGTCAGTGCACTGTGTGTAAATTTGGTGTAAATGTAATATTCAGTGTTGCCGATTTGTGGGGAATTCCCCAAACTGCGGGGAATCTCAAGTTGAACGGGGATTTTTTGGGGACTGGCATTATTCGGGGAAAATGTGGGGATTTTAACATCTTACTACTTAACTACTGTTGCGAGAATTCCAAACATTTTAATATTTTTTTAGTTTAGATACTTATGGATAACGGACAAGTCAATACTCTTCATTGCGCCATATTTAAATTTCGGCATCTTAATTCTTTTGCCAATCGTAAAATTGTTTTGTGTATCTTTTAATGTTTTTAGGGTTTATACATTTCCTTCTACAGATTTGGTGTTTATTCCGGATTCATTAAAAATACTCTGACGACATCTAGTGGCTATTGTGAATATTAATATAGAATTTTCATGGACTTATATAGTTTGTGGTTCAGTTTCTTTTTTTATCTGTAGCAGTATATTCCATTAAAAGGCTACTTAACAGAAACAGTCTTCTCAGATTCGTCGAAGACTACCGAAGAAATGCTGATTACAATGAACAACCAATTCACTGTGGTATATTTGGAATTCATGTCTTACGTACTTGCACTGGTAACAAAATTCAATGTCTTATTTCAATCAGAAAAACCCCTTCTTCACAAATTGAAACCAGAAGTCGAAAACCTTTTGAAAACATTGTCTTCTAATTTCATGAAAATTAGCTATATCAAGTCCTGTGCTAATATTTTAAACGCAGACTTAAAAAAAACCAACTATTTACTAAGTTTAAATGAAATATAAATTGGATCAAAGGCTGGAGAAAGTATGGAAAATTTAAAAAATGATGAAAATTTACCTCGTGCTGCTATTTCAGATTTCTATAGAACCTGCCAGGAGTTTTATATTGAATTGACATCAGACATTACCCAGCGATTTGATTTCGGGGATGTTTTATTTTCTATCTGCTGTAAATCCATCAGAAGCTAAACAGTTTTTGTGTTTTATAAATTTGTGACCGCAAAAAAATTGGATGACGAGTGGCGAACTCACGCATTGTTAAATTTTGATCAACATGGGCTTGAAATATCATGGAGATAACATCGAAGCCGAAAGTTACTGGGGTAAAATGTTTCATCTTAAAAATGATGCGGGAGAATACATATTTCCAAACATAAAAATTGTTACGTCTTTGTTGCTCATACTGCCATTGAACATTGTCATACTCAAACGCATCGGTTGAAAGAAAATTTAGTGCGCTTTGATATTTAAAAACATAAAACTGCAATCGGCTAAATACAGATACTGTAGTATCTTTAATGGCAACAAGAGAGGGGATAAAAAATTGGGCAGCAGTGTCAAGCTTAACAATCCTTCAATCAAAATACTTACATCAAACGTATGAAAAAAGTTTAAAAAATAAATATTATTTAAATAGTTAAAACTTGTTTCATTGTTTAAAATAATATTGTGGGGAATTTGTGGGGAATCAGCAGATTTTTGTCCCCAAATTTGGGGAATTTAATTCGGATTTTTGGGGAATTACATACATTGGCATTGGCAACCCTGGTAATATTATTAAATTATAAATGCATATTATTATCTCTCGTTAAACTGTGATAATATTGTTGTTTTTTCTGTACCACTATAAACAATATAAATTATGTAATAGTACAGTTTAACTACCATGAAAGAGATTCCTTGAATTTAAAAAAAAACAGATATACAATAATCCAATATGTCCAAACAAAATATTATGTTTCATCCAATTATCAGTTCTATTCAACGAATAGCCCTGTATGAAACTAAAGCGGTGAGCTATTAAACAAGTATTTTTAAGTATAATTATATATTAAAACCTAAATATGAATAATCTTTGTAAACAACAATAATTTCAGAGATTTTATCTCATTGGTTCAAATAACACGCAGACCAGATTTCGGGTTCTAAAAATTGATAGAACGGATCCAAAAGAGTTGATTTTAGTTGATGATAAAGTAGAATATAACAAGCAAGAAATACACCAGCTGCTAAATATGATTGGTTTTGGCAATAGAGGCAATCGATCACCTGGTTTTAACAAACTTGTTTCTGCATTTGGAATAGTTGGTAATAAATTTAAGATATTACTTTATTTTCAAGTTACATGTACAGGTAAAAATGTTTGTATTACAAAGGGTTATCTGAAATATATGTTATATTTTAGACTATTACTTGCTGATAATTTTTGTATAATAATAATGAAACATTTATAGACGGTTCTGTGGTGCAGTGGCTTAGCAATGTGTTCCAGCGCTGAGGGTCGGATATTTGAATCCCACACTGAACAAATTCTATGGCCTACTAATAATTGTTTTCTGTCTGGGATTTTGTCCTTGTGCAATTTATGTATGTAAACTGCCTTTGAGGCATGTTTGAGGCCGCCCATGAACAATCGCAACACCAGGGGAATTGCAGATGCATTGCCGGCCTTTTAGAAAGGTGTAAGCTCTTTTCTTGATTAGGTCATTAGGTTCTTTCCAATACTACACTACTTGAACACAGGAGGTCAAATTTGCTAAATATTGCACTATTTTTTGTATTTTTATAGATTGAAGTCAATCTTATTACATACAAACAACTGTTACTAAGGGCATGGCACACTTACTAGTGGGTTTATTGTAGTTTTTTAGCCATGGCCAATTGATTATGGTTTGCATGGTGCCTTTTTTAGAGTAGAATATGTCTTCCATAGTTATTAGAGTTTGTTGGTTATATGTATCTAAAATATACTGTTTGCTATACTACTATATTATTGTATCTATCCTACATTTTACAGGCTTTATTAGATTCTTAGAGGGCTACTACATCATTTTAGTAACTAAGAGAAGAAAAATTGCTGTGATTGGTTCACATTCCATTTACAAAATTGAAGACACTGCTACAATATACATTCCTAGTGACAACAGTAAGCCTCAACATCAAGATGAACAAAGATATTTAAAAATGTTCTTAGCCATAGACTTGTCAACTAATTTTTATTATAGCTACAGTTATGACATAACTCATACATTACAAATGAACATGGCACCTCCAAGAAAATTAGCACCTGCATTGTTTCCCAAACCTATCACTGCAGCAGTGTATCATTCAAATTTAAATTCAGATAATAGTGAAGAAAATAAATGTATTTGTCATGATTGTGATGACGATGAAGATATATTTGAGACTTGGAAGCAACAGTTACAGCAAAGGCAGGAAAAAACTGGGTAAGTCTTATTAAGTGTTATAGTTTAATCTTACCAAGATTAAACTATAACACTTAATGTTTGAAAGTCCTTTTATACCATGTAGCTATCAGAGACAGAATCATTTTTAGCTGGGTGGTGGCATGGGAAAGAGAGTCCGTTACTCTATTTTTTCTTGTCGGTATGATAAGAGGCAAATGTGTACGGGCCAGAAAGACCTTATGGGCATAGATAATGGTATTCCCATCTTTTTTTTTTCTTATTATAAGCCAGTGCTTGACCACAATCCCACCTGGTGGTAAGTGGTGATGCAGCCCTAGATGGTAAATTGCACTGTCTTAGCGTAACGAAAGTCTATTCACTCTTGCCTTGTAGACGCCCAGATTGTATTTGGACGAAAAGGTAGACGCTGGCAAATTATTCCACTCCTTTGCTGTGCATTACAAAAGTCAAAGCAAACCGTTTGGTTCTAATGCATGAAATATCAACAACAAAAGACACTTTTGTGTTTTGGAGGCGTTGAACCCCACGAGATTAGCAACGTCCCATTCGGAGACTGCCTGTAGTGTGAGATTCTCAACCATATCCTCTCGTTCGGACTGGACTAGATCCTGACTGGCCCAGGCACTTGGTTGGTATCTCTCCACAACTGTGCTGTCGTCTGCATACCCATAGATACCGGGAATAAGCACATCATTTATATGCAGCAGGAAGAGAGTTGCGGAGTGAACGGACCCCTGAGGAACTCCGGCGTTTGTTGGGATAGGACAGGACGAGCAGCCATCGATGACAACTCGGAGAAATCTTTCACTCAGAAAGTCCTTCATCCAGTCAATCAGCCGAGTCATATGCCGTACGCTGAAAGCTTTCCCAATAAACTAGCGTGCCAAACCCTGTCAAAAGCCTTCAAAACAGCGAGGGAACAAGCTATTTCGAAAATGTGGCATATTGTTGATCAACTTCGGCGAAACCCGTACTAGCGGTCACTGAGGAGATCATTATGCTCTAGGTATGCCATGAGGTGGGCGTTCAATATACGCTCCATAATCTTGCAGAGTATGGGGGTAATTGAAATTGGCCGATAGTTAGCAGGGTCGGTACGGCTACCTTTTTTAGGCACAGGCAATAGCATTGGCCAGCTTCCAAGATTTGGGTACTATTCCAGTCCTGAATGAGAGGCGGAACAAGCGCGTCAACACAGGAGACAACTCAGGTGCACAGACCTTTTAGAACTATAGCTGGTATACCATCAGGTCCACTAGCTTTGTTCACGTCTAAATTTCGCAAGGTTTTAAGAACCTCCTTGTTGGTGAGGTAATTGAAATGGTACGCTGTTGCTACTGTCCAGACACGAATTGCAAGCAAAAAGAGAAGCAAATAAGTCCAGTCCTCCTTACGCGCATGCGCCAGTGAGCTATCTGGTTTTACCAGCGGAGGCAGTGTAGACCGACAGAAGTTTGTCTCGACCGCTTTGGCGTGAGACCAAAAAGCTCTACTGCCAGATGGTTTGACAGAGAGCTTTGTACCATTACGTTTAATGCGGTTGAAACTGGCTTGCGGTAATGCCTTTTTGTAGGACTTGGCGGCTTGGTTAAAGGTTCTCTTCTTAAGGCTAACATCCGGAGCTTTGCGGTCTCGAGCATCGACCCAGGACAAGTACGCCATATGCTTGTGCTTTTCAGCACGAGCGCACTCGGCGTTGAACCATGGGCGAGTTTTACCACCAATGGGCACGTCAGCAAAGGGGATGAAATACTCCGTCGTTTGACGTATCACATCGGTTATGCCATCCTCGCAGCTCGACGGATCTTCAGACGAGAAGCAGACCTGCAGCCAAGGATAAGATGGAAAGAAATGCTGCATCTCATCCCAATTTGCTGTTTTGTATCACCACATTCGCTGCACACCGTGGAAATATCGTAGTTAGGTGGGGAATATAATGACACAGATTTCACCAAACAGTGGTCAGAAGTTCCCAAGGGTGACGTAACCTGAACATCGTACCTGACTGGATCCGTCATCAGCAGAAGGTCGATGCAGTTGGCTGTGTGCCCATCCACATCAGGTACCCTAGTCGCTTGTTGTACTAGCCGAGTGAACCCCAGCGACAAGGCAAAATTCCACACCTCTCTCCCAGAGTGGTCGATCTTCTGGTATGGCAACAGCCAGTCCTGATGACAGACATTAGTCCCCCAGAAACCAACTGTGTATTAGGGTACCGATTTAGAGCCACATCAGAGGCTTCACTGAGGTGTTCAAATAGCCTAGTTGTTTCCTGGTCAACGCTGTGCGATCGGTAGACAAAGAATAAAAGGTGACGAAGACGCGTACAGCAAATGTCGTTGCGGACGGAAACACAGACTCCGGCGCGCTTGCGGAAATTATGTTCCAATGTGTACCTAAGGTAGCCAAGTTACGCCGCATCGAGAGGATATCTGATCTGCGTCTCAGTCAAGAAGAGTAAGATGCGGCTTGTCAATCTCAAGGTGGTAGTGGACTGCATTGAGATTACAGTGCATGCCTCGGATGTTTGTGAGGTGCACTTTGATGGAGAGGGATTGCAACCGCTGTACAAACTTACTCATCTTTTTATTTATTTTATATATGGTGGCGCGGGGCAGCCTTTCATGAGTGACTGACTCATTAATTGGGTCCCCAATTATCAGCGGTGCAACTGTGCTTCGGATCCCGCTAACTTCCATAACTAGGCACCTGACACTAAGAAACGGCCACGTCGCAACCGGTTCTTATGTGCAACGCAACTGTCCAGACCCATTCTCCTTAACAAATGGGTTTCAACTAATATTTTACCGGAACACGACTTGCATCATTTGGTGGTATGTCTTTGTCAGATGGGTGGTAACTAACCCTCGCCCGGGCCTCTCACTAGTAGAGGACCAACCTACCACCAGTATGTAGTGCTGCTCGTTTAGCACTACCCAGGGGATATGTGTAGGGAATCAGGATTCAAGTAACTCCTATGGAAGTGAACATCTTCATCCCCCAAAATCCATCTTATATACAGAATGGGCCATCTAACATTTGGAATTGCAACTATAGGTAATTTTGAGGTTGGAAGGTTTGATGACATTTCTGATGTGACAGAAAGTTAGTTTTATGTTTGACATTTATGAAATGGGTCGCTTTTCACTTGAACAAAGTTGGGAAATATTAAAAACTAATTTCTAAAGTGGTGAGTCTTCTACTCAAACTGTAAGAAATCTACGATAAAAATTTGACAAAAAGGATGTGCCAAAAAAGCAGTTAGTGGATCAATTTATGAAGCGAATTAGTGAAACTGGATCGTTGTTGGATAAAGCAACCTGTGTACTTACTCGTCTAGTGCGCTCAATCGAAAACATCGCTATTGTTGCTCTTTGTGTGCATGGACAACCATTAACATCAACTCGTCATCATTCTCAAGAATTGAACATTTCACGCACTTCGAAATAGAGGCCAAAACAATCGAAAATATACTGAAAAATTGGACTGATCGAATGGGGTATTGTAAGGCTAGCCGTGGCAGTCATTTGAATGATGTTATCTTCCATTCTTAAATGGAAAGGTTCAGTCTTTCTAATAAACTCATAACTTTGAAAAAATATTTATTAGTTTATTTTATAGCCAATTCAAATTCCAAATCTTAAATGCCCCATCCCTTATTACACCAAATTTAAAAAAAAAAGCCTATAATAAGACTGACTACGTTGAGCAGTGTCAAAGGTGCGAGAAGGCCAATCGTACATACTTTACTTAGATTTAGGGGCTGATAAAGAAGTGAATGTTTCGTGTCAAATTGAATACCTACATAAAATAGCAGCTCAACAGTGTTTCGTATGGTGATACCTTTTTAACTGGAAACAAGGCATTGCATTACTTTGATGTTTTCTGCTTTGATATCATTGGTTTGATAACAGAGGTTAAAGCACATAGGTAGATATTTAATCAAGTTTTATAATTTAATAAGTAGCAATAAAGAGAAATATAATACATTTTTTGTAAAAAAATTATAGTCTTTAATAATTGGATAATTATTAAAGACGTTTTAACATTAATATGTAATATTTTTAAGGAAACCAACTCCAAAGCTAGAATTTGGTATAAGAACAGTGCCGAATTGGAGATTTGTTTGGAATAGTCATTTACTGTCAGCGGTACACTCCTATCTTCATCCAGATTGGATATTATACATAGTACATGGATTTATAGAACAGAGCAACCTAAATATATTTGGTAGGCCAATTTACCTGACGCTTATAGCTAGAAGAAGCAATAGATATGCTGGCACTAGATTCCTTAAAAGAGGTGCAAACTTACACGGTGATGTTGCTAATGAAGTTGAAACAGAACAGATTGTTCATGATTCAATGATATCATCATTTGCAGCTGGAAGGTAAGGAAAGGAAGAAAACTTTACTTATTTTCATTCACAATTTTTTTTTGTTATTTCTACTGTTTTTCGTGGTTTAACAATAGCCATATTTTTTATTTATTTATTTAAACTTATATGCACAAAAAATAAAATCGTACATATGGCGGACTTAATGCCTTAAGGCATTTCCTCCCAGTCAACCATTGTATACCCTTAATTTTTATAACTTCAAATTCTTTTGTGATATTGCAATTCCAATAAAGTTAGTTATTTTTATGGCGACTGTACACCTTCGATACTACTCGCCCGCTCTTCGCTTCGTGTCGGTTTTTGCGCCTGGGTTAAAGGTTCCCCTGGCGATTGTACTCACACAAACTAATAAAAAAAACTATTACATACACTCCCTCTGTCTCTCAGTCTTACCCGTGCTCTGCGACAGTGTATACTAATAACTACATGCCATGTTCGATTTTTATGCATTTACTATGCATAAAAATCGAACCAAACAACCACCACCTCCTTTTTTTATTGTTTACCTAAATGTGGTCCCACACTATGAATATAATTTGTCCGAATTTTATCCCAATCTAAAGCATTTGCCCAATTTACCTAATAGTGTGTTTATTTTCATGTTTAGAATTTTCAATAAGGTTATTAGTAATTTGATATTTATTTTTATCATGTATCCAGTTTTAAGATTTTAATGGAACCATAATATTATAATATTCTAGGTTCAGTTCATTTGTCCAAATGCGGGGCTCTATTCCCAGTTATTGGTCACAAGATATATCTAAAATGGTACCGAAACCAGCTATATCAATTGATTTGGGTGATCCGTATGCTGAAATACCAGCAAAACATTTCAATAATCTGATGAGAAGATATGGTTCGCCCATTATGATCTTGAATCTAGTGAAAAAGAGAGAGAAGAAAAAGCATGAATCACTATTAACAGATGTAATTAGCAATGCAGTAAAGTACTTGAACCAATTTTTATCTCCCGAGCACGCTATACAATACTTCCATTTGGATATGGCTAGAATGAATAAGGGAGCTGATGCAAAGGTTCTTGATAAGTAAGGCAATTTTTGTTAACATAAGTTTTTAACATAATTTCATTTCATTGTAAGCTGTATTAGTTATGTATAAGCGCATTCATCAAATCTTTTACACAATTCTGATCCGACGACATTTTAATTAAAAAGCCTCTTACTATTAAAAATCGTAAGAGGCTTTTTAATTAAAGAAAATGTATCTTTTATTAATTTATAAGCAATTTCATTCGGCGTTTATATTTATCAAGCTGTGCAGAATTTAAAAAAATATAAATCTAAAAGAGTTCAAAAGCAAACACAAAATTATATTTTTCCACCTATACAGACAAAATCTGGAATATTATATCCTAGTCCCTTCACCAGCGGCAGAAAATTTCACAATGACAGTTGACACTATTTTTTTCACCCTTTACACCAAATTTTAGACTGTCAGCAATAGCCCGCACGGTAGTCCGAAGGACGGGCATATTTCTAAGCTCCAAGGGCTATGATGATGAGACTGGTGTACCAGGGCATCAGGGCGGGCGTCTTCAGACTGGAATAGTTCGAGTCAACTGCGTGGATTGTCTTGATAGGACAAACACCGCACAGTTTGCTATCGGCAAATGTGTGCTCGCACATCAGGTTAGCCGATTATAAACATGTGGCCACACAGAAATTTTGCGAAACTAGAAATTGGTTCTATGGTTAAAGTGTTTTTAAGGTTAAGGTTTCCAAGTACTCTACACCAGCATCTATACAATTTAGAAACACGTTTTCCTATCCGTCGCAGACACCTCTTCTACGACTAGTTCCTAACGCTCCTAACATTCTACCGGAGATAAAAATTAACCGGTATGTTGTCCAGAAAGTCCCTCGTTTTGGATGCTGAGTGCGTGGGTGCGTTGTAGCAGTAGCCCGCAGAGCCCCGTTTTGGTCCCTTGTTACTTACGGCAGTGTAATACTTCTGGCATACATTTGGTAGTATACCATTCGGCATTGACGTTACTTCGATTTCGTAAAGGCATTCACACGAGATACATCCTCAAAGTGAAAAAAATAACTATCAAAATCTTCCCTGCGCTTCTCGATCGTTTCATTTTGTACGCGTAGGTTTATTTGAAACTTTATTTTTTGTTGGTTTGTTTTGAATTTTTTTTAAGCTTGATCACATGTAATAATGTCATAAACAGATTTAACAATAACATAATATAAACTTAATTCTACTCGGCCCTGCTTCTGAGCATCGATAAGATTGTGCGGCAAAGACGTTCGTGTAAAATCTCGTGAATGCTTCCCTCTCTTCATATTATATCATTTGCCTTTTCTCTTCAACAAAATTTTTCACTGCTAACTCGTTGCCTTTCGTACCAGGGAAACCATTTCTTTCTTAAATATCAGCGGTTATATCGGCTGCTTGGATCAGTAAAATGTAGTTTGAAGTCTATCAAACGATTCTCCCGTTTTTAGGTGACATTTGAAATCGTGAAAAATCGTCCGACGAAAATATTCCCAACGTAGATCTATTTTTAAATGAAACACGATATTATTTCAATTTAACTCGTAAAAATGTGGAGGGAAATTTGAAATCGGAAAGTTCCTATTTTTACTTGTAAATAATCGTATTGTCAACATAAAATGGACGTAGTTATACAAAAACGTTCTAACCCACAAGTCATTCAAGAATTATTCGTCGCGAAGATGTCAAAATAAGTATATCTGTATATTTAACTCATTTTTGATTGTCACTCCCATGACTGACTTGACATTGGCAGAATTCTTTTAAAGAGAAGCCAAAAAAGTAAAGAAGTAGAAGAAGAACTCATTTTTTAATGACTTGTGGGTTAGAACGTTTTTGTATAACTACGTCCAAACATACCTGGCCAGTGTTCATATAAAAAACATGAAACGTTCTTTCGCAAAACTTTCTGCGTGGTCTATTGTAAAATAAAGTAACGTCATTATAGTTTGTACATAATATACGTAAATGCCCTACTGTTTGACACATCCCTCATTCCACTTTTATTTTCTGTCGACTTCCAAAAAGGAGACTGTACTCAATTCGACTGTATGTTTTTTTGTTTTTTTTTTATGTGTGTTACCTCATAACTTTGTACTGGGTGAACCGATTTCGATGATTCTTTTTTTATATGAAAGCTGATAGTTCTCGTGTGGTCCCATATCTAGAATATCTATCATAGAATTTGATCAAGGTCAGACCAATAGTTTTATTGGTTGAGTTATTCTTAAATAACTTATATTGAAGTCGGCTGTACAAAATTTTTAATTTTAAATTATCATTATAAATATCATCGCAAGATGTATCATATATTTAATTATGTCGATTATTAAAATACTATTGAAAAAAAGTAAAGTTACATCCCAAATATGTAAGTTAGGCCTAAGTCTCCTCTAATTTCTAAAAGGATTATGGAGGAATTAGTCAATCGCTGCTCTTGTTCACGGTGGCAGCATTCAAAAGCCCTCGGAATATTTTATTCCTCAGATATGCACGTTTCGTCAAGATGTTTTCTTTTATCGCCGAGCACTTAAATAGTACTTTTAATTACAAACAATATCATTAGTATCTGAGAGGATCGAACTCTGGTCGTCGCGTACTGTGAAATGTACGGCAAGTGCTTAGACCGTCATTTACCATAGAGGGAGAACATTATGAAAATCTGCATGTTTGTATTAAAACGTTTACCTCTGTAAACGTTTTAAATTGTGGCCTATAGACATCTACATCTATTCTCGATTACGAATCAAGATGCAGATGTGTTGTCAGCCATGAGGACTAAGATGGAATTCCTCGTTTCCAGTAAAAAGGGTCTCCGGTTCACTACATTCACCATACGAAACACAGCGGCGATCAGCTGCTATTGTACACTGGCATTCTGTGAGAGCGTGGTCCTTCCCCGATTGAGCCGACCCATTCGCGCTACAACTATACCACTAATATAGCTGCAGCATAGCTCTACCACGTAAACCGATATGAATAATAATTATAACGAAGAAACGATAAAATAAAATATTTACTTTCTTTTTCAAGTTAACATAGCACTAGAAATTGTCCTTAATTATTAGATATACAGCTTAAGTTCAACTTCTCAATCCTTGAGTATTCCGAACTATTTAAAATTTGTTTCCTTTTACAGCTATATGCGTTGGGCCTTATTGGCGAACCAGTTATAGAGTTCGACTCGGACTGCGTGAGATTACTGGAAGGATTGTATGAAGATCATGGAGATACTCTCGCATTACAATATGGTGGATCACAATTAGTTCACAGGTATTATATTTAGATTAGTTTTATAACAGAAATAATTGTATACTTATTTAGTACTTTGGTGAAATACGCGAGGTTAGAACGGTGAACATTAGTTTGTCAGTCGGTCGTCATCGACTGTTGGATATTTCTTCTATCCGCTGGCTAGTGCGAACTTGCTCTCACATCTGTCGCTCCGATTTTACGTACCCATAAACAACACAGGATGAGCCTATCTAAACCGTTTTGTTTGTAATTCCTTATCAATTAATGATGATACATTAGATTCAAGAAAGTTCTTAATTGAACTTTTATTTTCAATGTCCATTAAATTAACAAACTCAGGAAAATTATCCACCCAATCCCTAAAAAAGGCGACCGCTCATACCCGTCCAGCTACAGGCCTATCGCCATCACCTCCTTGTTCTCCAAAATAATGGAATCCATTATAAACTGCCAGCTCATGCGGTACCTTGAGGATCACCAGCTGATTAGTGATCGCCAATACGGTTTTTGTCAGGGTCGATCAGCTGGGGATCTTCTGGTCTACTCGACTCATAGATGGGAGGAGGCAGTAGAGTCCAAGGGGGAGGCATTGGCCGTTAGTTTGGACATTGCGAAGACCTTCGATCGGATTTGGTACAAAGCGCTTCTTTCGAAGGTCCCTTCTTATGGGCTTTCCGAGAAATTGTATAATTGGATCACCAGCTTTCTTGCAGATCTAAGCATCAAGGTCGTTGTAGACGGTGCATGCTCCGACTACAAGCCTATTAACGCTGGTGTTCCACAAGGCTGCGTGCTATCACCAACGCTGTTTCTTCTGCATATCAATGATATGTTGCAAACCGGTAACATTCATTGCTATGCGGATGACAGCACTGGTGATGCTCTATACACCGGCCGTGCCAATATTTCTCGGGAAAACGTCGCCGAGTACCGGAACAAACTTGTGTCTGAAGTCGATACTTTGCTGAACAAAGTCTCGGATTGGGGGTGACTAAATCTAGTCCAGTTTAATCCTGAGAAGACACAAGTTTGCGCGTATACCGCTAAAAAGAACCTCTTTGTCGTATCTCATCAGTTTCAAGACACTCCCCTTGTTGCCTCAGACAGTATCGGAATCCTCGGCGTCGACATATCGAGTGACGTGCAGTTTCGTGGTCACTTGGAAGAGAAGGCCAAATTGGCCTCTATAAAGCTTGGCGTGCTCAGCAGAGCGGGACAGTATTTCATGCCGGCAAAACGCCTGCAACTTTACAAGGCGCAGGTTCGGCCTCACATGGAATACTGTTCCTATCACTGGGCAGGGGCTCCCCAGTGCCAGCTTCTTCCACTTGACCGCATCCAACGCAGAGCGGTTCGAATCGTCGACGACCGAGTTCTTTCCGATCGGCTTGACTCATTGGCACTGCGTAGAGATGTTGCATCTCTTTGCGTATTTTATCGCATCTATCACGGGGAGTGCTCTGAGGAATTGTTCGGACTAATTCCAGCCGCCCAATTTCACCATCGCACATCGTGACAAAACTCACGATACCATTCATAACATCTGGATGATTGGCAGTCCACCACTGTGCGATTTAGAAGAAGTTTTCTTCCTCGCACAACTTCCTTGTGGAATCGATTACTACCAGCGATTTTCCCGGACCGATACGACTTAGGGACCTTCAAAAAAAGAGCCTACTCCATTTTAAAAGGCCGGCAACGCATCTGCAATTCCCTTGGTTCCCCTGGTGTTGCAGTTGTTCATGGACGGCGGTAGTCACTTACCATCAGGTAAGCCGCATGCTCGTTTGCCCCCTCTTCTATAAAAAAAAAGTATGGCTTCTCGAAAAGCCATAAGGTACTGCATAACATACGGGTGCTCAAATACAATAGGAATGTCGACTTTTCATTCTTTACTGTTCCTAAGGATATCGAAAGGTAAGATATTGTTATTTATAGGTAGATTTAGATAATTGGGTACCTATTTACTGACGCCATATTTACATTCGCAGTTTTCGATTTTTTCGCGTATAATGTCAATACCTTAAAAGCGGTCAGTCTAAGTAGACCTATCATTACTCGTGACATCCTACTAATGCAAGATCAGCATATACTGGCTCTTAGAACAGAATAGATAATTGTACATATTATTAGTTAAACACTTACTTGGTTGATAAAAGAAAGAGATTGAAAATACAAGCACTTCTCATTGCCACTCTTTCATTAATAATGCTGCCATGTATAGCATGTTTGTAAATACCAAAAAATATGAAACAGAAAATGATAAGTAGGTAAATTAACTAAGTTTCAAGGACGTTCACGTTGTTATAATCTTAACTTTTATCGATGTTGCATATTAACCTTCCTCACATTGAACGATATTGTAATTTACTATACATTGCATATTAATTTACTATACAATTTACTATACATTGCATAACACCTCGGTGCATTCTAATACCAACTAATATCAAAGGATTCAATTTGTTTTCTCACTACACCTAACCCTACAGTAAGAGCGGCCTTAACAAAGGGCGCGTAACGGGCTAAGTGATACAGACTCGCACGCGGACGGAAGGTGTATTTTGATTTAATACGCGCGCCGCATTTAGCAGGGATGGAAGATTTGATAAGGATATAGAACAACGAGTAAATGGGGCTCTAGACGCTATTATGAAGAGTCATAATGTGTCAAAAAAGGCACTTATGGCAATTCATAGTGCTATGTTAGTCCCTACTTTAATGTATGATAGTGAAAGTTGGGTCGCTCAGAAGAAGCATGAGAGTAGAATAAATGCTGTAGAAATGAGGTCATTAAGGAGTATGCTAGGGCTGAATCTGAATGACAGGGTAAGAAATAGGTGATCAGAGAAAAGTGTGGTTTGCAAGATGATGTTGTGACCAGGATTAAGAAAGGAATGCTTCGGTGGTTTGGCAACAATCGGTAGGCTGTTTTAACCAAAGTCTCTTCCGAGGCGTACAAAGTATTATGAACCTTAGCGACGTTGTAACTAGATTTAAAGTCGCAATCAGAGAATAACTCTTCTGTTCTGGTACTATTATTTACTCTGTGGTCAAACAAAAATTATTTTGATTTGAAATGACCAGTACTGCAAAACGGCAATGTCTTAGGTAAAGACCTATTATAACTAACTGCTAAAATTTGTCTTCGGCTCGATAACTATGGAACAAAAGAAATGTTAAGGTTGTATGATGAGCATTAGATACCCTTAGCTTTTTTCTATCGTAATTATTTATTTATTCTTGAAGTTGAAATCATTTGTCTAACAGCAAGAGAGGGTCTAAGAAAGTAGTATGACAAAGGAAGTTATACGTGGGTAGAGACATGCTGCAGCTATATTAGTACTATAGTTGTAGCACGAATGGGTCACGTGAGGTGGGAAGGACCACGTTCTCACAGAATACCAGCGTAAAATAGCAGCTTAACACTGCTGTGTGAATCTGTCGCATGGTGAGTGTAGAGAATCGGAGACCCTTTTTACTGGAAAACAGGCATTCCATCATAGTCCTCACGGGTGACAACGCATCTACATTTTGATTCTTTATTGAGGATAGATGTATGTAGATGTCTATGGGTCACAGCAACGACTTACCATCAGGTGGACTGTGTGCAACCATCATCATAACATATTTCATTAATCTCTCTCTAAATAATTAACTTAATATAATTTTGCTATTACTTTTGATTTTGTTATATTGTATATTATATGGGATACGAGGCATTTCATCATAGTCCTCAGTGAACACACATTTACTTGTATAATAAAAATACATGGCAAATATATAACTTTTAACATAAATCCACAAAATATTCGAACTTTTTTAAAATACCTTATTGCCAAACTTAATTCCAGCCAGTGCCATAAATATGTCGAAATTTTTTAATAGCTCAAAGTTAGCCAATTCAATTATATTGCAATTTTCAGAATAAAAACCTATCGGAAAACAGCTCCCTGGTCGTCGCACGGCAATGATATAATGCAAACACTGAGCCGATACTACTCGAATACGTTTTCCGACGCGGAGAAACAGAATACAATGAATTTGTTCCTTGGACTCTTTGTCCCGGATGCGGGCAAGCCGGCCATTTGGGACTATCCCACTGATTATTACTTACACCATCCTGAGGCGATGGTGTACATCCCAAATAAAAGGTTAGAAGTATTTTTGAATAAAAGGTTAGAAGTAATTTTGCACACTGTGTGCAGTTTGGTCCAACTTGAGAGATAGGATAGTATTTTATTCCTATCTATATAGTGACCCTCAATATTTTTTATTACGAATTTAATATTTTTTATAGGACACAGGATCGTTGGAGAGGGCAGAACAACGTCTACCTGGCCAGCTAGTATATGTATATGTGTGTATATATATATATATATATATATATATGATCACAAATATAGCCTTCAGAAGGCGGTGTGCCCACCCCTCCTATCAATCCCCGCTCTCACGTGTCACTGTGGTGGTGAGCCATCTGCTGGCATTCCAACGGCTGCCAGCTCTACTAATTGGCCCGTTGCCTCTGATCATTTACATCATCATTTTAAACTTACTTCACCAAATAGGTTAACAACACTGTTCTTGCCGTGTGATGGTGACGTAATTAAAAAAGCGACTACGGTAAAGAAATGAAGGCTTCATCAGATAGATGGCGATTTTCTGTTTGTATAATATGTATGATGTCAAATATACAAACCGTCAAGGACATTAGACAACTAATACTATGATCGCTAAGCCATCTGCCACGCGTGGCGATTACGTCAAAATCCCGAGCAGTGGCGGTATAAGATTATCCACTAACCCATATCGTCCCGTGGGAGCCACCCATGTCATGTATGAGGTGGACAGAGGGAAACAAACCAAGCGATTGGCAGCAGCGTCTTCCTGATAACAACTGAAAATTATAAAAAACTACGGTTGCCAACCCGCTTGCCAAGCGTGACAACTATGGCAAAATCCCCCGGACAGCGCAGCAGTGGACTTTTATAGGCTGCAATGGTAGATTGAATCTTAGAGATATTGTTTGGCTCTGGTCTGTTAAAAAAATTTCAACTCTTAAGCCGGCGCCAGATACAGTTTTAAACATTTGAACACTTGTGTGAAGCTACTCGTATGTTTGGCACAGGACTTTGAATCAATGTTTAAATAAGTGCGCAAAGAAATTCACTTTCCAAGGCGGTTTCTGTTTTTCTGCTTTTCGGCCGTTTTGATAGATTTTTTTTAAATAAATAATGACATGCACAATAATACAGGCACACTGCATCCACAAAATCGTCGTCTATATTGTTTGTCGTTTATCAACGTACTGTGTAGGGATGTGTTTGCATAGCATGTCTGGCAGGTAGCGCCAATAAGTGATCAAACAAGTGTTCAAAGTCTTTCCAATAAGTGTTCAAATGTTGTTGCTATATCTGGCACCGGCTTAATATAGATTAAATTATTTTTTTATTTTCTCTTTACGTTTATTATTACATTTAATATTTGTTTATAAGCGAGGAGATAATTTAAAAAAAAACATCCAAGGATCTACGCAGAATAACAATATGATTAGGTTTACTACTTTATTGTCGTAACAGTTTAATATTACTGTTCTTGTTTAGCGGGAATATTACAATATTTAAATATCTTGTCCTAATATCAACAAACTATTATTTAAATGCGTTGTAGCAGTTATTTTTTTTTAAATAACATATCTCGCTATTTATTAAATTTGGATCAGATCCTTAACAAAGTGGTGGGACGACGACGTCGTACGGCATCTGCCACTGCCGTGTAACGAGATGCGGAAGCTGTGTTGCGAGATAATCGGCACGCAAGGCGACGGTGCCTTAGAGATGCTGGACCCCTACCAAGAATACAATCGTCCCTTCGAGTACACCGTCTTTACAGATTGCTTCGAGTTTAAAGTGAGAGCAGCGACAGTAAATAATAAATACGATTGCCATGTGGTGGCGGCATTAAGAATCCATTACCCCAAGTTCCGTAAAAGTTGGCTATGGGTTCTCTAATAGTCGACTTACCGTACCGTAACAGCCTATTAAAATCCACTGCTGAACATAGGCCTCTCCCCAAGATTACCTCATACGGGAGATATTTGCTATAGTTGCCACGCTTGGCAAGCGAGTTGGCAACCGCAGTTTTTTTTTATTTAAGTCGTTATTAGAAAGACGCTGCTGCCCATCTCCTGATTTATTCCCCTCTGTCGCCTCTTACGACACCCACGGGCTGATATGGGGTAGTGGATGTTCTTACACCGCCACTACACGGGGAACAGTTGTCTTACGGAACCGTAAATTCTGTCATCGATTGCGTCTAGACGGGGCATCGTGCGGTGCGGTACGGAGCGAGACGCGGGCAGAGCGCTCCCGAGCGGCCGTTAGTCGCTTGGAAGCTATCCGCTAGGATTGTCCTGTCACACAAATAAATTAAAATGGGTTCACACTACATGTGCGGTAAAAAACTGTGGGTTGTCCTGGATGGATAGATAAGGAATTAAAAAGCAAAGTGCAGCGGTAACGTTTTCTAATAAAAATTAACTTAAACTACTCTATTAGGGCATGCTGATCTTGAACAATTTCGAGCCATTTGAAGCTTAGTTGATGTGGTTGATTATTAGTAGTGTTAAGGCTAGGCGTTCCTGTTTTCGTCCGATTTAAAATTGGTTTTTGAATTGGGTTTTGCCAAATTACATTTATGCTGGGGCCACAGTAACGAGAAACGTCAATAATTAGTACCTTAATTTTATCGCGATAAAGTAAGTGGCCACACTTGAACAGTCAACGTCATTTCAATTTCAATGCCGTTGAACGGCGTTAAAGTTGGCATTAATGTTCCTTGAATTTCGAGCAAGATAGATGGACGTTGACGCTGCTACTCTATATTTGATGAGTGTAAATTTTTATTATATGAATATATATATATATATATATTATCGATAGAAAAAATTACTTTTTACGTTTTATTATAAATTACGTGTTTTACAAACCAAATTTCATTTTTAAACAAGAACTAATACTCCTTTTTTCTATAAAAAAAATATCAAGTTACAGGTAATTCATTTTGGAATCAATTCCACCCGATCGTTTTTTTTTTCATTACAATTATTAAAAATATTATCGATTATTCAAGTAATTTTCGATCCGCACCTCGCTTGCCAGCCAATGTCCTGCGAGACGTTGCCGAGGTAAGACTTGCGCCAAATTATTGCGCGCGCACTTCTTTTCTGTTACGTAAATAATATTTAGGAAATAAAATAAATTGTAAATAACTATAGTTTTATGGAATTTATATAGTAAAGCTTTTGTTCGTGTGTTTATTTCTCATTTATGAAACATTTGTTTATAACTTTAAAACAATATTTTTGTGATTATTTTGTAAAAATTACGATTATATGCGTGGTCCGATTTGTCCTTTGCGGCGACCGCTTGAAAATACCTAATGCGCTTGGAACACCCAACCTTAACACTACAGCTAGTATTCTTTAAAAAAAATACGACCAGAAATTGTATATGCTTTATCCAAAGATAATTTGCATTATACCAATAATAATAATTTATTTCGTAACAATGGTGAAACTTCAACTCCCACAGATGTTCCATACGTTACGTGACTTGGCGCCGACATCCTCAGAGAGCTTCAGTCCTTTCGTCGTCCGCGGTCGCAACGTGGGTCAGAACAAGGGACCGGTTTCGAAAAACCCTGTTATTAGTGGCCGCTCTAGTACGATATCCAATAATTCTAGCGAGTATGTATTTAAAATCCTGATAATAGTCTTAGTAATGCCAATATGTACCGGGTAGGCGGTGAATACCCACAACCCCAAATCGTCCCGTGGGTATAGTAAGAGGCGACAGAAAGAAAATAAAACAGTAGATTGGCAGCAGCATCTTCCTGATAACAGCTGAATAAAAAACTGTGGGTGTCAAGCGTGTCTTTATGGCAAAATCTCCCCTACGTGAGGCAATCTATGATGGAGGCCTATTTACAGGGCTGGACTTTTATAAGCTGTAATCTTCTTGGCTGTAATCTTTTCTAAATATTGCAAAAATATTTGATTTTCAATACTTTTCTCTCAAAAAGTACATGTTTCCGCATATTGAAACTTTGTGTGTGTGCTTATAAAAATGTAATCTTTCTGTAAAAATGCGTATCAACACGCAACTCGACGGACGTCAATGGAAAACTAAGCCCTTCTTGGTCGTGTTCTTCAAAACTGAAGGTCATGTCCGTAGTTTAGTGAGTTAGTGAGTGAGAAGCCAGTGAGTGATTTGACCTGGTCTGACCAGCGGCTAGATGATCGGCCGCGTAGTCTTTTACCCCCACCTTGCGTACGACTATAAGTCTATCCAAGTTATTAGGCGGGCGTCGGACAATATGACCAAAGTAACTCAGAATACTCTGGTAACACGTGGTAGAGAGTCTGGTGTCAACACGAAGCTGCCTCAGGAGCGACTCGTTGGTCCTCTTAGCGGTCCATGGTATCCGAAGCATTATTCTCCAACACTACATTTCGACCTCATCAATCCTTTTCTTGTCTGCTGCTCGAATCGTCCATGCTTCAGAGCCGTAAAGGAAGATGGAGAACACTAAAGTTCTGACAAGTCTCTTTTTGATGACATTAGAGATTTTCCTGTAAGCTGTAATAGATAGATGCTAATATAAATATGGATGATCTGTTTTTACAAAGGAATTAAACTATACAAATAAATAAAATTAAGTAAAAGTTAAAGTGTCTGTTTGTAATATTAAAATAATAGCTTTTTACTAAATACATATGGAAGTATATAGGGTACTTATAACAAAAACTCAATTTTTAAAATTTTTGTCTGACTGTCTGTTTGTTCCGGCTTATAGCTGGCACTGACTTTCACTGACACATAGCTGATGTTATAAGGCGTAACTTAGGCTACTTTTATCTTAGAAAAAGAATTAGGGTTCCGCGCAAAAAATTAAAACCCTAAATTACACGCGGGCGTAGTCGCGGGGAATAGCTAGTCTATCTATAAATTTATTTATAAAATAAAAAAAACATTTGTGAGTTTCTTACATATTTTTCCAAGAAAGTAAACATTTTTCGCATGTGTATTATAATAAAAAATGACTTCGATATCATAAAGTGAGCTCATAGTGGGATGCTTTTGACGATACGATATACTGTGTATTGTGTATTATACTTTTTTCCTCTTTATTGGGGATGACCAAGAATTGTAAATACTTCGTATTTAAAACAAAAATAGTCACAGATGTCACCTCTGAAGACTAACATTGAATCTCTTACAACCTGTAATATCGTACTGGTTCTCTTACTGGGTAAGATGTGGAACCTACCCAGACGGAGTCGTAAACAGAAAAAGAGTCCCCTTTTTACTTTGTGGTACCAACCTTATTATATTATTAACTTTTTATTTTTTACTAGGTAAACATAATTCAATGGGTTTAAAATTTCATTTATACCCCTATCATATCATTATCATCATAATTTTGTGATTATAGGTAGATAATATTTTGTTTCCAGTTCAAACAGTGATTCATCATCAGACGATGACCTGACAAGTTCAGTGCCTAGTTCCCGCCAAATTGTACAATCATCACTGTCCTTTGTGACCAACGTTCTGGCGGCAGAGGAAACGGAAGAGCCCGCCATGTTTCCCGCAGTCAAACGTTCCAATAGAATCCTACTAAAGGAGCCAAGCAAAAGAGATATGATTATGTAAGACTTAAAATAGTTGTCTAATTGCTTCACATACCTACATTTATTATAAAAATATTAGGAGATATTTTTTTATAATTTGTCCTCTGTTAATTTTAGGTAATCTTTAAAAACCTGTTGATATTTTTACATTATTTCAGATATAAGCGGTATGTTAACTTCGAGCGTAGATCAAACCCACAATACGATCCGGAAATTCACATTGTAATGACCGTAAGCAGTGCTTTCACCATTGACAGCACCGTGGACGTAATTCCACCAACAGTTACGAAGACTTCCAAAGAAATATACCAAAATTATGTACAGAAAAATAGCGGCCGTGTTACCGTACCTGCCGCATCCCTTGCTTTATATAAAAAATATGTTAACTTTAATCAATTACAGCACTAGTTTATTTTATGTTGATAAAAAAGAAAGATGAAAATATTCACTTATCTTTTCATTCTTGTTGTTCACCTCGTAGATATAAAACAAATCAATTTCATTCCTAACTCTTATAACGACTAACTGGGTTTATTTATTATAGCATGGTTTTACCACAAAATATAAGTTGCGACAAACTAATGACTCCGGGGAATGTCAAATTGTGTCTTCAAAAGGCACAATTACAAAACAAAAGTTTTATCAGTGTGCTAGACAAGTAGTCCCTCATATTGAGTGAGGAGTGTGTGGGCGCGTTGTCTTGTGTCTTGTCATGAAGGAATGACCTACGACTTGTCTGCCACCAGGGCGGCGCTACTTAGGAATGAGGAGTATTTGGCAGATTTCTTGGCAGGGAAGTTAATTTGTTAGGAAAATGCAAAGGTTAATGTTTCTTTCTGAAATATTCGTTCATTTTATATTAATTAAATTGGAAATGAATAAACCAAACTACGAATATTCCTAAAAGGCATTTTTATGGTTTTGGGTATTTACATACCTACTCTAAAAAGTGATAAACTTTTATTTAAAACTCAAAATAATGACATTGTTTATAAAATAACTTCACTTCCATGGTACGTCACTTCACTGTACTGTGTTCACTGTACGCCAGTATATTCTAAGTCTATATTCGCTTCAGTCCCAACGACATCTGGTGAGCGTCGTCAACCTACCCCTTCAAAGTGAAACGATCGAAATTTTCCCGCTGCCTTTCAATCGCTTCTCTTTGGTAGGTGTTGCGTTGATTCATTTTGAAACAGCCAAACTGTCAACTGATGCTTCCTTTCTAGATCTTATTAATAAATCCAAGATTTATCACTGTCTTAACGTCGTGAACACGCCGAAACGAGCCTGCTTCTACTTGCCGCTGCATTAATCCACGTAGGCCTGCTTCTAAATCATCGGTGAGTTTGTTCAGCATCCATCGCGAAACTATCCTCCTCGCGCATAGGTTCTGGTGTAAAATTTGGTGAACGCTGAACGCTTCCCAAACTAATCTGTGTAATAATATATGTGATAGTAATAATAAAATGTGTGAAGAGATTCATCTTTATACGTAATAAGCTTATTCTCTTCAACTAAACTATCACTGTTAGCATGTTTCCTTCCATAACAACTGTAAAAGGGCGACCACTTCTTCATCTCTCAAAGTTGTCAATGATTATTTATTTTAAAAATAAAGTTATGGTCGTCCAAACATTTGCCTGGCGCGTTTTCCACATTAGAAAAACTAGCGCCGCGCCGTCTATTGGAACTACTTTAAACTATTATGTAAAGCTCTGGTTTCTTGGGATTGCGGTGCCGCTATATGAGGGTCGTAATAAAACAGTGAACGATGCGTAATCATGAACATACATTAGGGAAATTAAGGAATAAAATAGGTACAGGCAAACCCCGTTAAAACAAGTTTGTGGCAATTCACTGAAGGTATAGATACTTTTAGTATGTCTACATACATCTAGTAGTAAAAATTGTAATATTTTAATACGTAGATTGCCTAATAAATGTCGAATAATAGAGAAAAAATTATTGTTTAAAAAAATTATTAATAAAAAAATTAACAATTTATTTTTCATGTAGGTAGTTTAACAATTAGAAATGGTTTTTCTAAAATATAAATTTAAACGCCAGTGACGTCATTATATCGCTTTAGTAACGCCACCGCATGGTAAAATTATAAAACAATCATGATTACATTGTCAAAATTTTAAAAAAATGTCATTGCATAAAAGTGTCTCCCACACTCAAGCGGCTTGCGGTAGCCGCCAGTTGTATTCGCTTGCAATTGCAATGTATGTCTGCAAACTCGTGTGTGAGGCCAAGTCGCGGCCTGCGGCGAGCGACTGGCTGCGGCCGTAAGCCCTGCCCCCTCCGCCACTACTTGTTAGCGAGCGTGCAGCGTGCGGCCTATCGGATGCCGCAGCGTGGTCACTTCCAAATGTTTACAACAGGCCGCGTGTACCGCGTGAAAAATGGGGCTAAATACAGAGATTTAAATAGAAACAGTTCAAAACTATCCAATATATTATAATATAGTCCAAGAGCAGGTGACACATTTTGAGCATGGATTTGACCCAGCTAGTAATATAGCTCAAAAATGCTTCCCCCTTTGCAGTCTCCTGTTTTGACTGCATTTTTGTTTCGGGCGTATAATGGTGTATCCAAGTTTCATCTACAGTATTAATCGGTGCCAAACCTCTGATTTGTTGCGCCTAAACTGCAGCAGTTAACAGTGGTAGAGCCACGCGGCGGCTTTTGCTGTCGCACGGATGGGCCGGCTCGAACCGGGGTGGTACCACGACCTCACAGAATACCAGCGTGAAGTAGAGGTTTACCTCTGCGTTTTGCTTGGTGAGTGCAGGTGGCCGGAGGCCCTTTTTGCTCCAGCATTCCATCTTAGTCCTCGCGGGTGACAACGCATCTGCATTTTGATTCGCAAACGAGGATAGATGTAGATGTTTATGGGCCGCAGCAACCACTTACCATCAGGTGGACTGTGCTCGTTTGTCACCCTTATCCTATAAAAAAAGCAACAGAGCGTTGGCAATGTTCATTCGAACACGTTTTTGGTCTAACGTGGTAACGTAACGTAATATATTTCTCATGCTTAAATCTTTATTTAATATGTGGCAAACACATTCTTTGGGCATTTTATAGCCTCTGCTATCTCTCTCACTTTAATTCGGCGGTCGCCTAGCACCGTTTGGTGAACTTTAGCGATGTTATCATCAGTAGTTGCAGTTTTTGGACTTGGATTTTAAAATGGCGCAGGTAGTACTATATCTACATACAGTTATTTATTATGACACGTTGCACTAACAAAAAGAGACAAAAGATAGGGCATACCTATAGTTAGAAAAAGATATATACACATCATTAGTTGCCTACGTATTGATTGCTGCTGAGCGTTCATTGGCGTGAGCGCGTAACTTACCGATACGGACACTGTACTCTAAATATACAAGTACGCTAGACTGGAGCTTCGTAATGTTAGCAAGTCCAAAAATTAGAATTAGACGAGGTTTTACAGGGACATGTAGAATCGTTTGCTCATTAAGAATAAACGAAAAAAATAATTATTCGTGTCACCCCTGCAGATTTACGACCCTTCGAAGACGCTTGCTAGAAATTTTATAAAATAGTCATTTTTTAATGGTTTTAAGGCACCAAAGTGAAAATATTCATGCACAGAACGTTTGCGCGTTATTTTCTCGTTCCAGAAGTATAATTACTTTCTCAGAAAAATGCATAATAACTGATTTTCACGATATCATTATTTTTCGCACCCCCAGCCTACGCAAGCATGCGAGTCTGCAATTGAGCGGCGCGCGTCACGCAGCGCACTGTGGCCTGTGGGAAGTATCAAATGTGAAATCAACTTATTGTTTACACTCACAATCCAGGGTTTTCTGTCTCATCAATTTGACAGTTGGATACCAGGCTCACTACACGATTGAGATCTCGTACAATGAAAGCGTAATTAGATTCCCCATTTTAATCGAGTTTTAATTAATCGGGCGTATTCAATTGGCGTTTCATTCAAAATCAAGTATCGTGACAACAAGTTTACAATAAAGCCATTGGTTTTGTGTGCACCTCTAGTAGCTTACATTTAATTATTGGAGAAAATATTTAGAGCTGTTATCAATATTCTATATTATATTCTGTTATCTTTTTCATCTTCGTCTTTTGATTCTTTGAAATTCTTTGTAGGATTTGTATCTTTTTCTTTGTCATCCTTTTCATAGGAAACTAACGCCTTTACAAGATCCACAAAAATAGAGTGATCCATAAATCCTGACTCACGCTCCCCATGTACTTTATCATCATAATTTTTTATTAATTTTTCGATAAAGGTCCCATCTTGATCAAGGATCTCATCACCCATGTATGGAATATTATGAAGGACAGTTTCATCTTTGACCATGAAATTTTGTTGTATCAGAAAGAACAAATATTTAGTTAAATGATTTTCCAAATAGACTCTATAATAAATAAAATAAATAAAAGTTGTATTGCGTGGCTTGGTACCTCTGTAAATACAAGAATGATTTAGATCCTGATTTGATATTGGAGCTGCATTGTTTTGCTCTACACTCTGAAGCAATAAGTTGTTAAGAATTTCTAATTACGCTTTCATTGTACGAGATCTCAATCGTGTAGTGAGCCTGGTATCCAACTGTCAAATTGATGAGACAGAAAACCCTGGATTGTGAGTGTAAACAATAAGTTGATTTCACATTTGATACTTCCCACAGGCCACAGTGCGCTGCGTGACGCGCGCCGCGCCATTGCAGACTCGCATGCTTGCGTAGGCTGGGGGTGCGAAAAATAATGATATCGTGAAAATCAGTTATTATGCATTTTTCTGAGAAAGTAATTATACTTCTGGAACGAGAAAATAACGCGCAAACGTTCTGTGCATGAATATTTTCACTTTGGTGCCTTAAAACCATTAAAAAATGACTATTTTATAAAATTTCTAGCAAGCGTCTTCGAAGGGTCGTAAATCTGCAGGGGTGACACGAATAATTATTTTTTTCGTTTATTCTTAATGAGCAAACGATTCTACATGTCCCTGTAAAACCTCGTCTAATTCTAATTTTTGGACTTGCTAACATTACGAAGCTCTAGACTGGCTATGCCATACAAAATGCTTATGCCGATTTGAAGCGCCCTCATTGTCTGTACCGGGAACTAAAACTGACAATATGCCAAAGTATGTTGTATTATTTAAATCTAATATCTGTATTTTGAATTTTTAAACTAAAAAAATGAAAGTATTTTATGTGGTTTGATTATGTTTGATTTTAGTTACATAATAAGAATTGTTTTAGTAATAATGAGAGTGTGAATCCACTTTCCTTTTGGTAAAACTCGTTACCAAAAGGAAAGTAGATTCACTGACATTCCACAAGTAAGAGAATGAGCAGCTAATATTAACCAAATTAAAACTATTTGATAATATATGTATGTACTTAAAAATATGTCACTCATCTTAATTTCGTAATTACCAACATGTTTGTCTTTATATTACTGAGTTTTGATAAACAATAAAATTCACTAGGGTTGTTAAGTTCCTTGTCTATAATACTTATCGATGTCCTTTTCTACCCATATCTGTTCACAACCAACCTACCTAGAACTAGATACCTAGACTAAAAATATGGCTGAAAAGCACAAAAATTGTGAATTGGCGTCCGAATTAAAATGATTATTATCTTTGTTCTCAACACTTCGCAGACGACTGTTTTATTGTACATGGGAAACGCTTTGAAAAAGTGCAGAATATTTACTAATAGTACCAGTACCAGTAAAAGCTTTTAGAAAAATTTACTTCGCAAATATCCGCGTTATAAAATAAAATGATGTGTCTTACCTAGTATGAAGAGCACCTCCCGCCCTCCCTCAATTGCGTGCACTATCCCCGTCATCACTAATCCCAGCACCGCTACTCCCAACACCACTACACTAGGCAAGACACACCACTGACGATAATACGACACGTGTTTCGCCTCTACACGAGGCATCCTCAGGTGATATAGACTCTACGGTGGCTAACCGCTAAGTGAGCGGCGAGCCAAAACAAGTGCCTTTGCCAAAGTGCCAACGCAACCGCTCTCTACTTAAGGAGCGAGCGACTGCGTCATGCGATAAAACATGCGACCAATCACCGCCGGACTTACGCAGCCGTTTGTTAAATTAAAAACAAACCGCCGCGCAACGCTCACCCTCCAACCACGCAACCAATCGCCGATCACCGTGAGGGTTCAATTAATGATTTTTCCTTTCTGCTTATAAATGAATTAATTTCCTTTAAATAATTTGAGTTTGTTGTACAATTATCGTTTTGATTTATTTTTGATGACACAAACAGACACAAAAGTAGCAATTATCATTATTTAAAATTCTGGTAACAAATTACTAATACTGATTACAATACAAATATACTCCCTGCATACCTACTGTTCTGTTTCACAAATGTTTACGCGTGTATTGGCCAACCTTGGCAAAACATTTGTAGGGGTGCTTTAAAATCGGTAATTTTGTTTCAAATATGATATTATTTCTTAGTTTAGAGCTTAAAATATAACTTATTCTACATGTACTTACCGAAAGTAAGACACTCCGGCCGTTAAATTGCTTTTTCGGGCATTATTCTTGCAACGTGTTTACATTGGTTGTGTTTCAAGTCAACGAAATGAAATAAGAGCTCACGTCTACAGTGCGCTCTTATTTACTGGGACGTATTTTTTGTGCCGACCCGACATCTAGTTGGTATTGTTGATCGAAGTGATTTAATAAGCTTACTGGACACCCAACCTATGCATCCAATGATCTGGTCGGCGGTTATTTTTTTCACTTTCGCGATTTAATTGAGTTGAAAGTACCTCAACATTTTCGTATCTATATTTTTATAGTGTCATCAGTTTCTTTTCCGCTTCGATTTTGTTCTACGTGCGAGTACAATTCTTCGTCGTTCGTAGTTCGTAGATTTAATTTTCTCAATTGCGGACTAGGAGCCTAAAATCTATGACCCAACACACACGTACGGTAGTTTTCGGGAATTCGTTTTAACGAATTAAAACGGGATTCCGTTTGTGTGTGGCCGACCGTTCGAAATTCCGAAACGGAATCTCGAAACGGAATTCCGTATGTATATGGCGGGCCTTATATGGACTTGCTGCGTTCGGAATCCCGAATCGGAATATCGAAACGGAATCTCGAAACGGAATTCCGTATGTATATGGCCGGCCTTAAACCTTAAAATCCTTTAGAAGCTCTTCAGTGTCGCCCTCCACTGAACACTGTGGTCTTGTTCTTCACGAAAGGCGACACGACTACTGACCGATTTCACTTCGTAACTTTAAGTTTAAAAATGTAACTTTTGAGACATACCAATGTAACTTTCAGTCAAGCCATGCTGGCAATCAAAGAGAATATAATATAATCACTACGGAGGTTTTGGCGGGAAATTGACCGGCGGCGGTTTGTTGCTCCTGTATTATTGTTTAAATAATGGTTTGAAGTGGACTTTGATATGTAAAAGTGTTGCGATTTTGTGTATTAAGTGTCTACGCATGTGAACTATTAGTGGAAACAGTGAAACAAGTGCTCTGATGGTGATGGATTCTCAAGATAAGCTGTTTGTTTGCATAGACACCTTTAGATACCATCGCCAACTATCAGCTGTCTGCTGGATCAAGTTGCCGCCAAAATCTCCCAAGAACTGCACAATGTGACGCATCAACATATTGTGAAGCAGTATACTATGAAGGAGTGGGGAAATTACAATAAACCGAATAAAAATACTTAAGGCTTGGCCTAAAGGTCTAGATACCAGGCCATAAACTCCAAAAAAAAAATATAATCACTACATACGTTTACTGGCAATACTGAAGATATGACAGCTGACATTTCCATTTTCCAATTGAATTTTTTATTCGGGTCGGTCGATGGTCGATTTTCTATGTAATTGTAGTTTACTAAGTGAAAATTTGTGTGGGGGGTGGATGGCTGTTTTCTTAATGTAATTATTCAATTTACATAGCGGATATGGCTATGTCAAAAGGATTTAAAGTCCTTGAGAAATCATCGCCACCAAATCCCTACAGTATTATATTACAACATAGAAATAAAGACACGGCTTTACTGTTTGAATCTCAAGCAGTAGTTTCACTGTCTTCCCAAGAGACGGAAACTCTACGAAAGCAGTACCACAAGATTGCAGATGCCTATGGCTGCTTGGGTGTTTTACAACTAAATTCAGGAGAAAGCTGCCTACTGTACCTCGTTCTTGTTATAGGATGCTGTTCTGTTGGAAAGGTGGGTGACGTTGAAGTATTTAAAATTACTCACACACAATTCCTTCCTCTGTTCTATCAGTCTCAAGGGGATGATAAAGTTTCTGAAGTGCGTAAATTATTAAATTCTGGAACATTTTATTTTTCATGGAACTCAGGCAAAAACAATGATAATCTTTTCGATTTAACTCTTTGTGCTCAAAGAAAGAGTAAGTGTGCCAACCCAGACAACAGATTCTTTTGGAATAGAACATTATTTATACATCTAATTAGATTTGGCATTGACTGTGATGATTGGTTAACCAGGGCAATGTGTGGATCTGTTGAAATTCGTACTATTTATGTTGGCCATCGTCAAGCAAGGGCTGTACTTGTATCTAGATTAAGCTGCGAGCGTGCTGGTACTAGATTTAATGTAAGAGGGTGTAATGATGATGGAAATGTTGCTAATTTTGTTGAAACGGAACAAGCTATATATATTGATGACTCTGTGACATCCTATATACAAACAAGGGGTTCCGTGCCTTTATTCTGGGAACAGCCTGGTATTCAAGTGGGTTCCCATAAAGTAAAAATGTCAAGGGGATATGATGCATCAACCAGTGTTTGCGATAGACATTTTTCACAATTAAAACGTAATTATGGCTCTATAATTGTTGTAAATCTTCTTGGATCAAGCCTAATTGGTGGTAGTGAAGGTGAAGCAACACTTAGCAATGCTTATCAAAAACATCTCAATGAATCAGCACATTCTGATATAACACAGATAATTTTCGACTATCACCAAGAAGTGAGAGCTGCATCAATTGAAACTGCATTATCAAGATTCAAAAAAATAATTGAAAAATATTATGATGATATCAGTATCTTTAGCACCAAAGGTGTTGACATCTATAATATTCAAAAAGGTGTAATCCGCACTAATTGTCTAGATTGCTTAGATAGAACAAATTCAATACAGACATTTATTGGCTTGGAAATGCTCGCTATTCAACTTATGCTATTGCAGTGTGTGGATAAGAAACAAAATGTAAATAGATTTGAAGAAGTATTCAAACAGATGTGGATTAATAATGGAAATGAGATTTCAAAAATTTATGCAGGTACTGGGGCTATACAAGGGGGCTCCAAACTGATAGATGGAGCTAGATCAGCTGCACGTACTATCCAAAATAATTTATTAGACAACTCTAAGCAAGAAGCAATTGACATATTGTTATTGGGCTCCACATTAAATTCAGAGCTTGCAGATCGTACAAGGATATTATTACCAACTAATTTACTCCATACATCAACTCCTGTGCTAAGGGAAATGTGTCGAAGAGCAAATGAATTTACTCAACCCTCTAGTATTCGTATTACAATTGGTACATATAATGTGAATGGTGGCAAGCATTTTAGAAGCTTGGCCTATAAAGATGTATCATTAGCAGATTGGCTTCTAGATTGTCCAAATTCCTCTTTAGTCAGTACTGTAAATATGGCTGAACAACCATCAGATATATTTGCTATTGGTTTTCAAGAAATTGTTGATTTAAATGCCAGCAATATTATGGCTGCTAGTTCAGATAATGCTAAAGCATGGAGTGAGGAGTTAGAGAAAGTTTTGTGCAGAGATGCATCATACACACTATTGTCTAGTCATCAGTTAGTTGGTGTGTGCCTATTTATATTTGTAAGAAAGGATTTAATTCCACACATAAGAGATGTTGCTCTTGATTCTGTCAAAACTGGCCTTGGTGGTGCCACTGGAAACAAGGGTGCTGTTGTTATTCGAATGGTTATTTATGGAACATCCTTATGTTTTGTTTGCGCGCATTTTGCTGCTGGTCAGTCACAAGTTTCTGAGCGTAATGCTGATTATACTGAGATTACTAGAAAAATTGCATTTCCAATGGGCCGCTCTCTTTACTCCCATGATTATGTATTTTGGTGTGGTGATTTTAACTATCGAATAGATCTAGATAAAGAAGAAACACGCTTATTAGCTGCACAAAACAAGTTGCAGCGGCTTTTAGAACAAGACCAATTATTAAGACAAAAATCTCAAGGTTTGGTTTTTAAAAATTGTTTTGAAGGAGAAATCACTTTTCCCCCTACCTATAAATATGACCTTTTTAGTGATGATTATGACACTAGTGAGAAATGCCGAGCACCTGCGTGGACTGATCGTGTTTTATGGCGAAGCAGGAAGCACACTATTGATCCAGAAACAACTACAGATTTAGCCGCAGGAAAATTACTTTTTTATGGGCGAGCTGAATTAAAACAAAGTGATCATCGACCAGTCATTGCAATCTTAGAAATTGAGGTACTGCAAGTTAGCTACACTAAGTGCATGGAAGTATTTTACGAAGTTGTAAAAGACCTTGGGCCTCCAGATGCTAGTATCATTGTACAGCCATTTGATGATGTTGATAGTGATGATTCAATTTTTGATGACAATGTAATGACAGCTATCCTTCAAGAACTAGCAACGATTGGAGACGTGACATTAGTGCGCTTTGTCGACGATCATACATTGAGCATAACTTTCAGAGAAGGCCAGCATGCACTTGCAGCTGCACAGAAAGGTCACATTTCAGCATGTTCCTTACATTTCCGTATATCTTTAAAATCTCCTAATTGGATTGATATTGTAAGATTGGAGATTAGTTTATGTACAAACAATACTGTTCCATTGTTCGGTGAGATTCAACCGGAAAGACCACTTAGATCAGCTCCACCTACCCCCCGAAGACAACAACCGAGTAGACCTCCAGCTCCATCTCCCACACCGATGTTACCATCGCGGGCCCCAATTATAAGTCCTGCGCGGCCGCCTCCACCACGGCCTGCGCCACTTCCTCCAGATGCAGAGGCAAATACCGCTCCGTCGCCTGTAACATCACCGCCTCCCGATAGTGTACCTCCCCCAACATGTGCGCCGCCTCCACCACCTCAGAGTTCCACTCCGCCCCCTATGGGTCCACCACCACCAGTGCCCGCTAGACAAGGCGCGCCCCCTCCGTTACCAGCGCGTCCTAAACAACCTATGTAAATTAATTCTAAATTCATCATTTACACATTAACCTATTACTTTTAAATATTTTTACAATATTTATATTGATATTTTTTAAGATTATAGTCATTTGTTGATTTTGTTATTGGTTTATAAATATAATTTTCACGGAAAGAACAATTTTAATGTTTATCGCAAATATTACTTTTTTTGTATAAAATAATTAATTGAAAAATGGGCGATTAAATAGAATGCTTTTTGTATCTCCCTTGTTATCTATGAAGCAAAGTAATTAGTATGTAATATAATATAATATACGCTGCGATGTAGATAATCATTAAGGTTAACAAATTGATATGGACCTATGCAATTCATATTGTTATTGTTGAGAGAATAACGAAATGAAAATTGCAGTGCAGTAACTAATAATTTTGCGTTTTAATAAATATATCAGTCGTTATTCTTTATTATGCATTTATTTTTTTAAAGAAATATTATGAGGCTAGTATTCGCCTAAAGAATTTATTGTTGATTATTGATCATGTCATGTCATATTGATTATGTGTCATTCGTCACCACTAATATTGGATAAATAGTAATTAACTCATTTGATAGTGATAGATTTTTAATTTTGCCCTTTGTAAATTTATAACGCTCACGAGACAAAATATACTGATTTGGAAATGGTCTTATAGATTTCCAACACGGCTATTCGAAATGCATAACAGAACCAAAATGCCGAATCTGTTGGAATAGCATTCAGACGTCAATATTCCAATTTAATGTAAAGAAAAATCCCTAATATTTTTGTAATATGTATGAGATTGCACGAATTAATAAAATCTTTCGTAGATAGAAATAAAAATTTTCTAAATTCAAAAATGCACACCTCGAACAGGACGGTTTACAATAGCGAAATTCAAAAGACGTCCTAAAGTTTAAAATCTAAAGCTAATTAAAAGAAAATCAAAGTTATAAGTTCAGTTTCTCGAAAGATATCTTGTTTACATCCATTTTCAATAAACTTTTTTTAATAATCGAAATAATCTACGTTTAAATACGTCAGATGTATTAATTGAAATCTCCTCTTGCTATTGGTGAACTTTTTTTTATTATATAAGTGCAATATAAAGCTGGTGGAAGTGGTTTAAGTTGAGCGGATCGCTTCGCGTTCGATGTGTGCAATAAACAAAAGACAAATCAATCTACTTAAATCTATCTTAGCCTGAGCTAGTGTATTCTAAATTTCTTAAAGGTCCTTTCTCCAAAAAATATTACTAGCTTTCGACGTGTAGTGGCTGCATATCAGAGTAGAGGCGACAGAGGAAAATAAAGCAGGAGTGAATTGAAGATAAGAAAAAACTGCGGTTACTAACCCTAACTGTGTGAAATATCCCCCCTGTGAGGCAGTCCATGGGGGGAGACCTATGTGAACTTTTTGATAGGCTATAATGACGATGGTGATTCCAACTTTTTTATTTTGTAATTGAAAACTTGTAGGTATACTTTTTAACGAAAAGACAAATGAGGCATCAAGTTTATAATAATTCGCTAGGGTCGATTGTAATCTGAGACTATGTTATTGAGCAAATAGTACCTAATTCTGTCTAACTTGAGTACCTTTAACCCAAGCGGTATATTATGTATTCTCAATTAAATAGATATTAAAGCACATCTTAAAATTCCATAACTAACGTAACCCTTGGTTTTTCCATGTTTAAGTTTCCTACCTATTTATATATTTTTTGAGAATTTTTATCCTACGGCTGTGTTTATTGCATTTCACTTCAAAAGTAAGTCAAAATCTAAGGATGAAATGAATCTCTAATGTTGGTAGTATATTTTGAAATAATATTACCTAATATAAAAAAATTATATAGTCATCTGGAAGAACTAACACTCTATAGATAATATTATAAGTAGATGAAGTATTGCTGAGCGATGTATTTACATAGTTTAATATTAGAGCATACGTATTGTTATATAGATTTGCACGCTGTTGTAATAATTGTAATATTAGTTTGTGTTTAAGTTATTGCACTGTTAAAACTGATTGCGTAAAGTTTAACTGAATAATTTACAACGATTAGTGTAAGGGGTGTTGTATAAATTTATTCAAAAGAACAATGTTTGATAAGTTATTATGTTATAACTGTTTAAAGTCAACTTTATCTATATCATTACTTCTTATACAAGGTTTACATAATGTTGATCTTAAATTTGTTCCTATAATATCACCTTTTTATTTTTTTTAGGTTCTTTATTGTTTTAGTGTAAGTAGTACCTGAAACACTTTCACGTTTATGCATTCTATTTATTCTAGTTTTAAATCAAGACTCGGGGAATTATAAGTAAACTATGGTCATCCAGCTAATACAGGATGTTATTAAAATATTAATGCAGCTAAATGGATGTGATATTGTTAATCCAATAACACTAAACCATCCTTCAATATAATAAATATATTTTCTTTATTTAATTTCATATGTATAACTTAAATATAGAAATTATTACATAGGTACTCCATTAAACTTCCACTGAATACCGCGATAAATCGGGTAGCCAAATCATTGTACTACATGATTCATCCATCATAGTTTAAATCTAAAGTGTATACCAATTGTTTAATTCGCAGAGCTAAGTAGTTTTCTAAATATAAAATATCACTAGTGTTAGTTTCTCTACAGGCGTGTTCCTTTTATTCGTATTGTGTAAACCATTAATAAATTTGGCTGTTGTGTACCAACATGTTATATTCAGTAAATTTAAGGCTTAATCGAGATTTTATTAGTATAACGCAAATTATAACATATGGCCAGTGTACGTTATGATTTAAAAAATTGATAAATAGAATGTTATAATTAACAAGAGCAATTTTATTTTTCAACTTGTTTCTCCTACCTTCACATTGTTTTGAGTTATTTTTATTTACCAGACATACAGGTTTCCTCACGATGTTTTCCTTTACCGCCAAGCACGAAGTAAATCAGCACTTAAAACTACCATCAAAAATGTCATACCGGCCTATACAGGTGACATAATTGTCTTAAATGATACTTTTAGACATAAAATAATAAATTTCCTAACATTCCTGCAAGTTACTCAAAAATGTATCGAAAGTAAGAGTTTTGGTTTTTAGTGGGGTAGACTCAAATTTTCAACCTCAATTTAAAAATACAAAACGGAGTTTCCATAGGTTCCGGCTTTAAAAACTTTGCAAGTCCCTAAAGCTATTTAAAACATTAAAGAAAAATTGGTACTTAATGGGCTATTATTCGCTGTAATCGGCCTTCGAAGTGGATATGCTAAAAATACATAAAAAAAAAATAGTTTAAAAAAATATTTTGCCTATTTTTGTCATTCTTATGAAAATTTAAGTAATAAATTGTAAAAAATAAAGGGTCGAAAACCCGTTTAACAATGCTCAAATTATGAATTATTGTGCTGTACGTGTCTTGCTCGAGCCTGATGGCTCGAAGTGTCCCCAGTTGCAATCAATTTTGCGAACCGGTACTCCGGAATCCGGATCACGTTGACAAAGTCATGGAAGAAGTCCAAAGAGACCCGTCTACAAGTTCAAGAAGAATAGCCACACGAACTTCGGTTCTAAGAATTCTTTATAAAGGTGAGCCTTAAAATATGCTGAAATACCAGTTTTAAGATTTTAACTTGTGGTAATTATGAGGTTTTTTTTTGTTTTGCAGAGGGGTACGATGCATACCATATCCTGCGCGTCTGCTTACCGAAGAAGAGTAGTTTTTTTGTGAAACCATGTTACAGATATCTGAAGAAGACCCTGATTTCTTCAAAAAAATATTTCGGACAGACGAGTCCAGATTCGAAAGTACTGGAATTTTTAATATCCTCAAATACTATAATAGCGGGGCCATAAAAACCCACGTCTGGCAAGGGCATCGAACTTCCAACACCACTTTAGCGTTAACTTGTAGTCTGGGATCCTAAATAGAGAATTTATCGGTCCCTTTGAATTACCGTCCAAGTTAGATGGACGGACTTCCAAATTTTTCACAAAATCACTTATGAATTATTGGAAGACGTGAACGTAACGGTACGACAACAAATAATTTTATCAAAATGACGGTGCTTCTTAGCATTGCTCAAGACAAGTAAGACGGCATCTCAACGAAACTTTTCGACAAAACCGATCGAATGGCCTCCACGTTCGACAGACCTAAACCCTATCGGCTTTTATTTGGGGATTTTACAAGAAACTGGTGTACGCGCGGGAAGTAGATAATAAAGAAGAATAGGGAGAAAATGTGGAAATAACTGCTAGAAAGCAAACTAAAAAACTCATTCACGTTCTTTCAGATAGTAAAACATAACTTTTTAAAACGCTGTCATCTTTGTATTGAAATAGGAGGGCGTCATTTTGAAAAATTGCTTTAATAAAGAATTAAAATGATTAATTTTTGACAAATTTTTTTGTTATCATTCATAAATCCTAATGAATAAATTACACCTTATTTCTTTAAGTTATTACAAATTATCATCTTATTATCCTCTTTATCGGTCAATTTGTGTACATTTAAATGCAATCGAGAATTTTCCACTGGTAACGCCATCTTTCTCTAAATTTGACGTGGCAAATCTCTTTTTGCAGCAAAAGAAAAACTTAACAATTCGGCATTTTTGGTTTGCCGCGCAACTAAATTTAGTCTAGTGAGCAATGCGTGTGCGTATATATATATGTAAATATATATATATAAATATATATATATATATTATATATATATATATATATAAATATATATATATATATATATTTATTATATATATATATTAGATAGAGCAACACGGGCCTGCGTATATGGCCCGTGTTGCTCTATGGATTTAATATATGGATTCTTTTAAATAAAGGTAAAAAATAAGCATAGAGGATGGCTAGGCCCTTAGACGCATAGTTGCGGTTTATAAAAATACCAACTCTGTGATGTATATTAAATCTATTCTCAAATAAGAATCAAAATGCAGGTGGTTACACTTACCCCGTAAGAAACAAGTGACTAAGGTCTTCG